TATTAACGGAATAAATATTTTATTAAACGAATCGTTCTCAGTAGATTATTGAAAATTTAACTAACTTGTACTTTTTTATTCACTTATCTGCCGCTCTTCACAAACCACGTTCATAACGCAGAAAACCCCGGTGCTGCCTTGTACCTTAACGGTGCATAGCTGTGCTGATAGCCAACCGCTGGCGCACAATAATTCGACGAACCAAAGAAGCCGCAGCCTGCACCACCGCCACCGCCGACGCCACCTCCACCACCCGCAGCCCCAGTGAGCCCATCAGCCGCGGCGCTTGCCACCGATGCTGCACTCCCAAATGCACTATAGGAATTTGCATAATTTTTTGCAGCAGCCGCGGCCACCGCCGCCGTCGAATACATGCCAAGCGTAGGAAAGCTCAGCGTGTATGCGGCTGCTGCTGCGGCCGCATGATCCATTTGTTGATGAAAAAATCCACCTGCACCACCACTGCCAGCAATGGATTTATCGAATTTGTGCGTGACTGTGATGGGCGGCACCGGTTGAGGTGTACTCGCCAATATGGAGCGACCACTCGTTGAGCTGCGTTCATTGCGACGAAATTTTGCGCGTCTATTTTGAAACCAGACCTGGAACAAAAATATATTTGTATGTTTGTATATATGTATGTATGTAGCAGCAGAGTAAGGTGAACGGTGGCGATGAAGAATTATAAGAAATGTCGGGCATTCATTGCATGCGCAGGTATTAAAATTTCATTTGCAATTTTATGACAAACACTCACCTGCACACGCGCTTCACTCAGCCCCACCTTGGTGGCCAGTTCTTCGCGCACAAATGCGTCCGGATAGTGGGTGCGTTCAAAGACCTTTTCCAGTGCAGTCAATTGGCCAGAGGTGAAAGTGGTGCGATTTCGACGCGGTTTGCGTGAGTGTTGCTGTGTTGCCGACGGCGCACGTGTTTGCGGAGGATGTTGTGAATGTTGCGAATGGAGTTGTTGGTGTTGGTTATTTGTATGTTGCTGCAGCATGTGCGTGGTGTGTGAGTGCAGGTGTTGGCTGTACGTTTCAGGGTAATCGTCACTGCTGCTACGAAAGCTACTATCTGAAAAAGAGCGAGGAGGAGTGAAAACAAGTTATTAATATTTTAAAGCGGATGTGGAAAAATGCAAGAAAACAACAATATATGTACAAGTACTTTTAAGCAAAAAACAAAACTGACTTCAATTCTCATATACATGTTTAGGAGTACCGTTAATTTCTTCATGTTACAATGATCGGAGATAAACCAAATTAGCATAGGACCACCTCGGAGACCTCGGATTTCCGATAGAAAAAGAATTATCGAAACAACAAGTTATCGATTGTGTAGATCTTTTACACCGAACCAATGCAATTTTCCTTTCTAACGAAAAATGTTACCTTCTCATTGCCCTCTTCGCACAAATACTATGGTAAGGGCAACAAAAAGGCACTATTTTTTATAGAAAAAAAATCCATAAGTTCAATAAAGGTCGATAGCGGAAATCGAAGAAAATATTCACGCTTAAAAATTCTGAAAATATAATCTTGCTATAATGAAGAGTTCAAGTATTATAAAATCAAATTGAGGCATAAATTCCAACAAAGAATTATGTACACTCTAAAAAATGTTTGTTTAAATTTGCGCATATTAAGATAGGTAACCTATTTCCTCTCTTAATGAATGCAAATTTACACACCGTGTTAATTAAATTAAACACTGCTTGTTTACTTTTACTTATCATATCGAGCCTAACCGCGAAATTAACGTAAGCGATATATTTTTCGAAATTAGTTTTTTGATGTAGAATTGTTCTTAAACCCATAACAGGTCAACTGTTAAAAAATTTGATCGTCAATCGTCATAGTCACAGAGATATACGACTTTCAATTTTATCGTAAGCGACATCTGCTGTTTTGAGTTACCGCAAAAATAACGTAAGCGACATGGAAGCTAGTAGTGTCCTGTAAATACTGACTGTAAATATATATTTTTATACATTTATTTATATTTTTATATATGTCAATGTGTACAAAAAAGAAAATAAAATAAGTTTTTTCAAAGTTTTTTGGGGAAATTCAATTAACGTAAGCGCCAAATTCACTAATTTCGCCTACAAATTAAGTTAAATGAAGATAAAAATGAGTCTATCACTTGTATTGAACCGGACTTAGACTACATTAAGAATTTCAAATATGTTTTCCAAACAGATTAAGAAAAAAACAAGAATACGTCTCTCCTGTAAAATTTGCTTTTTGGCAGTTACGTTTTTTCGCGCTTAGGGCTCGATATATTTGGCGTTGAACAAATTTCAAATTTGTTTGCTGAGTTCTAAACATTTATTTTTCACAAATTCACAGTTTACACAAAAAATGTTTAAAATTTGCTCTAAAAATTGTTTGTTTAAATTTACGTATATAAAGAGAGGAAACTGGTTACTGGTGTGCAAAATTAAACACTGTCTGTTTACTTTTACATATAATATTTGTCACGTAGAGAAAATTACACACAAAGTGTTTAAAATTGAGTAAATATAAGCACTTAATGTTTATTATTAGTAAAAAATATGTCTTTACTTCGAATTTTTTTTACAATTTTAAACATTTCATGTTTATTTATGTGTATTTTTTAAACATCTCATGTTCAAAATCAAATCCTGAATATCTTGTGCGTATAATTACACAGGTTCTGGTTGAAATATAATCACTTTTCAGTAGTAGTTTTACATGTAATTTTTAGAGTGTATATGTATGTACAGTACATATATGCCCAGCACAGGTCTTTTCCGAATATTTTCATTTATCAAAATCTTCCATGCGCTCTTAAAATATATTAAGTACCACACTCTTAGAAATGATCCTTGCGTAACTGTGAACAACTTTAAGCCACATTTATTGGACATTTCACAACTAAATAAGAAAATTTCCTAGCTATCTTGTTTAGCGGCATAAAAACACTAAGTCAATTCCACGAAATGTGAGTAAACTCAAAATCAAAGCTCAAATTACACTTTAGGGAACAAATGACCACATATGTACCCCCATACCCCCACTAGTACTAAATACATATATCATTACACATACCCACATCCATGCAGCTTGTGAAACATGAAATTTTTACGACGCGTCAGCATTTGCCGAGCATCAATAGCGCCAGAGGACTCATCAAAACAAATTTTATGTGCTGACGCTGGCTGTCAATTTCATTGGGTTGCTTTGGTGCATCATTAAATATATTGTCATCTTGTCGCGCAGCGTATGTACATACATATGTGTGTGTGTGTTTACAATCTCGCAAACAATACCAAGTGCGGCAATAACAAAATTGGTCAACTGTGCTCACTCTAACTAGTGACACAAGTAAGACAACTGAAGTTATTGCTTATTTAACACCTTTTGCCAGCTGGCAATAGACAGACAGACAGACAGACAGCAGTCTCCAGAAATAACAAACACTCACACATCCTTTAATGGTTTTCATGGGCAACGCTTTTCACATATTTCTGCTTAATTTTCTCATTTTATACTTTCACTTTCATTACTTTTGGCGCTCATAAAAATTTTAAGCAGAAATTCCTTTCACTTTGTGCTACATACTTTATGTAGACCATTAGCTATGTTGTGCTGAGTGACAACACATTAGCCTGTAATCGAATTAAAAACTCGTAAAATAATGATTTAGTGTTAACATTTGCTGAAAGATTTGCTCGTCAAATATTTAATGGGTCAATACGTTTGAGAAGCATACATACCTACAATACATATTTACTAGCGATATAAATATCCCATCATGAAACACGATTACCTCAAATATAAATTTGACAATCGCTTGAATTTTCTTTCCGGAGGATATTACTTCAAAATGGGCTTGTCATTGGCTTCAAGAGCTTGCAGACAATGCTTTTACGCGCAAAGAATAGCGGTCGTGAGATGCTAAAGAAACTAAAATTTTAATAAAACACATTCTCGAGAACACCTTATCATTAGGTTAGGTTAGGTTAGGTTGATGTGGCAGTCGGTTCAAATGACCAACTCACCTAGACCTTTTGAAGGTCCATTGTGGTATAACTGCAGAATACGGGAACCTCAGTGACTATAAAACTTTTCTAGCTCTTATAAAGCGTAGGATTGGCTTTATTCCTACGCCTGATAATTCCGTAAGAGAGCTAAAGAGGCACCTACCTAAAAAGTCTGCTCTCCTCTTGGCCAAAGCTGGGCAACTACAGAAGTAGTGCTCTACGGTTTCTTCCTCTTCCTCATCTCTGCAACTTCTGCAATATTCATCGGAGAATATTCCTAGTCTTGAAGAGTGCCTGCCAAATAGCCAATGGCCGGTTACACAAGCCGTGACCATCGCCAAAGTTGACGGGTTGTTCTACAAGAAATTTTACCTAGCTGGGGGTCTACTCTGTACTGTGATTCGAAAAGCAAATCGTTCGGATTCGAATACTTGGCACTATGAATTTTTATTAGTCCGTGTCGCCTTTCGAATCGCAATGCAGAGTAGACCCCCTGAACTAGTTTATCTTGAAAATGGAATAAAGAAAATAAATCGCTGAGCCGTATTGATGTACTATATTTATTAAAGAGCAGCTTGTAGGCGATCTAGAGAATGTCCTGTTGCCCCAGCTCATTAATCATGTCATTTCTTGCTATTTAGCTATAATCCGGTACCCAATGAAGCGGATTTGGAAGCCAATGAATCCAGAGTCCTGATTGTCACACTGCCCCTCGCCTTGATAACGGCGACTTCTGCTTGTAGCTCGATGCCGAAATCTGGAAGCCTTAACTAGAGATTTATCAAAAGATTCTGACAAAAATTCATTAACATATAAAACTCTTTTATTTTACTTTGCATAAATTCTCTAAAATTTGTATAGAGAAACTCTCATACATACATATGTTTGTGTATATACAGTTTTACATATGTGTATACTGTCATGCCCTGCGAATTTGCTTGTCAACAAACCACAAATTGCAATCTCACTGATCCATGCGATGACACAAATTACGCCGGAACACGCGTAACTCACAAAAATGAAGTGAAGGAGGCAGTCAGCAAACGGCAGCCGGTAATCGTGGAAATCAGGGGCACCGAAAACCATACATATGTATGTACTTATACACAGCCATGTATGTATGTATGTATGTGTCAAAAGGAAAAATAAAAATAAAAACAATGCAATGATGATTTATAATTAGGTGAAAATTTAGTGCTCTTTAAAATTTAATTATTCATTTCGGTTGCGGTAGGCAGACACGCCATGCCGACAGCCACTTGAATTATGCGTACGCATTGTTGTTGTTTCTGTTGGCGGCATGATATGCTACTGTGATGATAAATCGCCGCACACACACGCGCCATATGTGGGCAATTTTTGAAAGGCGGTGCATGTGATTTTGGTTTGACAGCGGCGCATAACCGAACTGTCAACATAAAAGCAAAAGTCTTGACGTTTATATGAGGGTGAGAGCACCAGCAACCGTGTATATGAACACAGAAAACCAAAAAAAAAAAACGCTTTGATCGCTGTGAGGTACATACCTAGTCTTTCTCGTATTGTAGTACCTACAGTGTGGAGCAAAATTTAGCCTTAATTTAACCTTTCTTTCCTAGAAAAATAATATTTTAACCTTTTTGTATCTCGTATATATATAAAGTAAATTTTACCAAATGGTGCGCATATAATGCATATACATTTGTACATATAAATGCATTTATGTATAAAATAGTACAGTAAGCCTATACCCAATATACAAGGAAGAGGTTGGTGGCTTAACTTAGCTCGACAGTCCGATTCCGGGATAAGTTTCAGTAAGCTTATTTAAACGCACCAAAGTCAAGGCTTATGGAATATATGTTTAAGGCATCCCAACACACTCTGCCCATAACGTTATCTTGAAAAATACAGACATCAGCTCTGAATGAAATCCACAACGGTAAACAAGGCCGTCGTGAATACCCAGCTGCAGTCTGACCTCCTCCTTTCAGGTGTTAGATAAGGTTTCCAAGGATTTCGTAGGGAAGAGGGTTAGGCTCCTTGCAGTGAAGAAGCGAGAAAGCTCGGAGAAGTAGCCGTTTAC